TAAAAATATAATCAACAATAAATGATTTAACTCAACAGTAAACATTTACAATCATGATAAAAATGAACACTAAATATACATTTAACCAACAGTGGCAATATTATTCATTGGAGATCAGGGAAGGTGAGGTAGGTTTGAGAAATATATATTGTAATCCACCACAATAAGAAAAAAACAAATAAATTGATATTATACATAGATATAAAATATTATTTAGAAATATCACACAAAAAAAGCTAAATGAGTAGTAAAAACCCCTGAGGAGCAGGACTGGGGAATGGGAAGGAAGGAGTAGCTCAGGGGACTTGTACTGCAAGATATATATGCAATATTGATATATGCATATATATAAAAATTTAGTGCTATCATTCAGTTTGTATACTAAATAATCTATATATGTATGTACTCATTTAAGATATATAGAGTTATATATTTACATAAACATTTTAGTACTGGTTGGTTTTCTAAATTATGAGCATGTATTATTGGATTTTTTAAAAAGTTTCTAAAAACAAGTTGGTACTGACAATGGAAACCATTTGGAACATACCTTTTGAACTAACCTGGATCAGTGCTCAGTTTCCAGATTCACCTGGAATTGAATTAAAATTCAATTTGGAACTCAATTAAAGCACTGAGCTTTAATGAAGCAGCTTGTCAGCCATGCATCTTGAGAGTAACACTTGTTCCCACATTTCAGAACTAACAGTTCTTCTTTCAACACCATGATATTTATCTGCCATATTAATATTTGAGCTTATTTTCCAAAATAGGTTTGGGACTTTCCTCTTGAACTCAGTCCACTGTGTTTCCATAGTGCATCAAAATGCTACTCAAAAGCATCACTAATCCAGAAAGTGTATGTCTAAAAGAAGTGATCTGTTTTCTTGTCCTACTTGTAACTACTGGGAAGTACCTTGTATAACTGAGACCTCCAAGCCGACATGACCCACTTCATTAGACAAGTGTGTACTGAGATGTAGTAAATGTTGTGGGTAATGTTCTATGTATCCAAGAGATTTATTATTTCATCTATAAAGAAAGCACAACTAGGAATTCAAAATTCCAAAGGCTTTAAACTTTGTAGAATTAAAGAAGTAGAGAAAAATAAGGCTGTAGGATACCTTGTGTTTAACTGGTTCTATAACTTGCCACTGTTCAGCCTCAATCACCCTATTCAAATCCACTATCACAAAATACTACCATTTTTCTTGGTATACTTTTCCAGGGACCAATCAAATGGCCAACCATTATCCCTTTCTCCTTTTTTTTAACCTAAATCCCCTGGATTAAGCTCCTGATCAAACTGAACTTAGCCTACCAACACCCATACGGAGAATGCAAATAATCTTGATGTTCAGCCATAAACTTGGGCTAGCCTGCAAGAGGATTCATATTTGAGATCAAAGGAAAAACAGAAATAGCAAAGAACTGGGCATGGGCTTTAGACAATTCTGAAACACTAGAAAATGTGAATCACCAGTTCAATGGCTTGCACCTGGAAGTGTTCATCTGATTTGCTGCTCTGACAGTATAATCCATTCAGGGGAAGACAAGAAAAATCAAAGTTCCATCATGGACATAGCTCACCAAAAAACTCGCCTCCTACATCCAGAAATCAGTACCATGAAAGGTCATGAGTATGGGCTCAGGGCTCAAATCTTGCCTCTCCCTCTTATCACCCAAGTGACCTTTGAATCTGACTTCACCTTGTTGAACCTCAGTATCTTTGCCTGGGAAACAGTATCACAGGATACCATATGCAAAGAATTTAGGAGTCTGCCTGATATACAGCAATCCTTCAATAGTGATTAACGGGAAGAAAACAGTTTAAATTTTCTTTTACAGTGCCTGTTGAGCATGCATTCATACTTTTTTTCATCACCTACTGGGAACTCATTCTGTGCCAGGTGCTGAGCCATGCATAAGATTACAAATTTGGCAAGGGCCTGCAGCATAAATTGGGTGGATAGAGAGGTACCACAGGCAGGGGTATAAAAGTACAGAGGTGCTAAAGAACACAGCAGCCCAGCATGTTCAGATTATAAGAAAAAACACCTCTGGTAGCTAAGCCAGTAATTCCCACCCAAATCATCTGAGGAACTTTTTAACTATTCCTGAATTTCACCATGTAGATGCTAATTCATTAAGTCTATGTTGGGACATGCAAGATAAATATTAATGACAATAGCTAATACTTTAGCACTAATATATGCCTGGTATTATGCTAAGTGTCTTAGCTTTAATAACTTATTTTATCCTCCATCGGGTCCCCATAAGGTGAGCACTCTTATTATCTACATTTTAAAAATGAAAACTTGAAACAGATACGTGAATTAACCAAGACTATAAAGCCAGCAAGTAGTGGAGGCAGGACTTGAGCCAACGCTGTCTGGTTCCAGCCCGAACCCTCAATCACAATGCCATGATGCCCAGCAACCCTCCATGGAGAACTCTTGTTGAGCTGTCAGACCAGGAAACTCCAGAACTTATGTATGAGGACAACTGGGGGAGTGGGAAGAGGTGAGCCAGGCTCGGTTGGCAAGCATCACATCACGCATAGCCTTGTTTGCATGCTGAGGAGTCTGGCATTGATGGCCTTCAACCAGAGTGAAGAAGAATTTAAAGCCACTCAGCACACTTATGTGATATTTTTGTCAGCAAAGTGCAGGGGCCTGGGTGTTTGATGCAGGCAAAGGCATACATAAGATTAACAATTGACTCTTTCATTTATTTAGTATTATATAATGAACAACTATTCCATACTAGGTACCATGAATATATGGAGCTATTAAAACATAGTGCTTGTTTTCAATGGAAAGAGATATTTGACTACATGGCAAAAAGCTCCAGGTCTCACAGCAAAAGTCAGCATAAGATGCCATGAGGGTCCTCTGAAAGAAATCTTCACTGCGACCTGGAGAATCCCCAGAGGCACCCCACATGCATGGGCACCAGGAGCAAGGCAGGTTCCAGAGAGAAAGGAATGTGGGGTGTGAGTGGAACTCAGCTGAGTGCTGGAATCTGAGGTTTACGGCTATAGTGAGAGAATGAAGGGGGTGGAGGAATCAATGAAAAAGTGGAAAGAAAAGGGGCTCCAAAGAGGAGTCCAAAAACAAAGGGAGGTCAATAAAAAGTCTGAGACAAAAGTAAAGCAGAAGCAGAAAATGTCACAGCAAGGAACCACCTGAGATCTATCCACCTGTATCCGATACAAAACGCCTTCTGTGCTTTCCAACTTCCGAAATCAGCTCGCTTGCCTTTTATCCACCAACTGCAAAATAATGACAGTTCTCTTCAGTTCTCTAGTGAAAATGATGGGCAAGAGAGACCTTTAAAAAGCATATTCAGAGCCAAAGACAAAACAGAAATGTTCTCTCTTTGCCAGACCACCTTCACCTACACACCTTCATAGTGCCCTGCTCCTACAAGGCCTATTAACCACGTGTGGGTCCTGTTTCTTTTGCAATCCGTGAGAAGTGGAACATGGAATGCACGCAGTGTGAGCAGAAGGATTTAGTTTCTAGTTGTAGCACCGCCACCATCTCGCCGGGTGACTTTGGACAAATTATTTCTCTTCCTGTGCCTGAGGTTTTCTTCTGTAAAAGGATAAGCTTTGAGTAATATTTTGAAAACTGCTTTAGCAGCAAATCCCTTATTTTAAATGAAAATTTACAGAAAGCACTGAGCTTTAATCCATGAAACATATACAAGCAAAGTGTGTGCTGATGGAAAAATTTGGAGCTGACAAACACACAGGAAGTTGCACAACTTAGTGCCCCATGGAAAACAGTCGAATATTTTTGGATCTTTCTGGTACTGGATTCTCACAACTCTCTGAGACCAGAGAAGAAGAGAAAGGCAGTGAAGGCTGTCACTGCTCTCCTGGGCTAGTGACAGAGCAGCTAAATTGAGGAGCAGGCCAGGTCTCCAGGAGTGATGCATGGGGTTTGCATGCAGGAGGTAGCAGGCTAACATCTATTTCTTGCTAATCTTCACAGTGCAGCTGACAGTTCTAAAAGGCAGGACTCAGCCCCGATTTGCTACTGGCTGCAAGGGGCTGAACTGCAGGCACTGAAGGGCAAGCCCAATATCTTCAAGCTGGCAATAGAGAGACAAACTCACAGAATTCTTGAGCACAGCTTCCGAGTGGCCAGGTGGCCCAGCACAGCTGTGATAAGAGGGAGCCCATATCCAGGCAGGCACACACACAGCACACTCTACCTACACCCCAAAGAATATTAGGTTTTAAAGAGTCAGAAGGAAAGTGAAAGAGAGGATGTGGATCTTGAATCCTGACCTCACTGTGTGTCAAAACTTGACTTGTTCAGGAGTACATTATTTCAGGTTTCTAACTCAGAAGACAAGTCAGAACAGTGAATATTTCTCCAGATACTAAAAAAAAAAGAGCCCATATAGAAATGGTTTCAATTTCAAAACATTTTCTATCCTTTAAATTCCCCAAGAATGAATGAGCTCGTGGGGAGGGGTGGTGCCGTCGGGGGAAAGGGTGTAGGCAGGAGGAAATGAGATACTGTAAACAAGAATCACATATTACAGAAATCTATAAACCACAGAAAGGATCAGAGACAAAAAGTGGGTTTCCCCTCTAGCACATCAGTTAATTAAAAATTAGTCTTTATAGTTTTCTATTAAAATTCCTAGGTCAACCTAATAGTTTTTTGTATGGTTGGTTGCTTTTTATTTAACAACAACAACAAAAAAATCCAACCTCCCTGCAGAGGCAAGTAATTAGGAACTCAGTACTATCTTGTTATCATCTCTGTCCCAGTGCCTCTTCTCAGAGACAAGGAGTCCTCCACACCTAAGAGGCAACTTCAGCGCACTGTAATTACTCAGAGCAAATGCATACTTGTGGTGGCAGCCCAGAGAGCCTGTAGAAATGCGTAAACATCATTATCTCACTTTAAAAGGAAAGCAAGCTGTATAAATAAGAAAAACTGTTACAAGAGTTAAAAAAAAAATTCCAACAATCTTACTTGCAGTTAGCGCCTCAGTCAACACATATCACAGTCCTGGAGACAGACACAGGAACTGCAACACCTCTCTCCAGCTAAAACTTTCCTCCTGAGTTTATCCTCTGTTTATTTTTGAAGCATTAAAAGACTGCGCTAAAAGGACACACTCAGTTTTCCTGAATATCCAAAGCGGCAGCAAAGTCCTGCGGAGAATTCACAGCAAGTTTGCGGAGACTTGTTCCCTCCGCTGCGGCTCTGTGGTTGCTCCGAGCTTGTAAATACAAGCTCCGTGGACAAAGTCCCAAATGACATCACTGGCAGCTGCTTATTGTTGAGTCTTTATTAACTGACTGTCAAAAAAAAAGGGAGGGGGTGGGGAGCAAGAGTATCTTTTCTGCAGCAAAAAGCAGCATCTTGGAGTGGATTCCAGTTTTACATGCATTAGTAATCCCATTGATTCAAGTTTTCAAGAGCTTGGTTTCTCTCAGGTTAGAGACTCTCCTGAACAAAACCAAGAATCTCCTCCCGTAATTTACACTGGATAAACTAAAGACAGCACGGCAGGGAAGGAAAATCTGAAATGCCAGCACAGCCCTGTCACGTTGTTTACCCACCTGTTTCCAGTCGGCTTCAGAGTTTGATGATTCACTCACATACGAATATTATGTTGCCAAACAACTTTTACTGGGATATGCATACCTGCCTCACATTTTTTCTAGGTGGATCGTCCTGGGTTACAATTATGTTTAGACATACTCTGAAGTTTACCTTGGTGTAGAAGGAAGGGCTCATTGAAATCATAGACAAAATTTTTGTGTATGTGGAAGCAGGCAGGTAGTTTCCTGAGAAAAGCTTTCTTTACATTCTCAACATTTTAATGACCTATCTATACCAGCCCCATCACATCCTCTGCCCTCCCGGCAAAAAACAAAACCAAAAACAACACCCCTGCCAAGTATCTAATAATCTCAAGGGCTACTGTAAACCCCACCACATCCAACTAGCAAGGTATAAGTGAGCACTTTTGCACCTATTTTCCACTCTCTCATGGAATCTCTCTTCCTCTGTCAGATGACTCTTGCATTTTTTTAACCCTTACTGCAGGACATGCTTATGGACTTAAGAGAGAGGAGAAGGGAAGAGGAAAGAGAGGGAGAGAAACATTGATGTGAGAGAGAAACATCAATTCCTTGCCTTTCATATGCACCAGCACCAAACCTGCAAGCTAGGCATGTGCCCTGACTGGGAATCAAACCTGAGACCTTTTGGTTTTGGGGGATGATGCCCAAACCACTGAGCCACACTGGCCACTATTCTTATTTGCATTTTATAGTTATCTCCCACACACCTCCACCTCCCACCTGGAGAAACCCACAAATTCTACACTGTTTCTGCCTAAGGCTCAAACACTGTAGCCCACTGTTTTCCTCCCTTCCTCTGAACTTCTACAATGATGCTGACTATTTATATTTGCTGCTTTTTATATACTGACTTGTATTTTTAGCTTGTTTTTTAGCCATCTGTGTCTGTCTCCCAACTCAATTTGAAAGGTCTTTGAGGGCAAATATTGTGTTGTGCTATTTGTTTATACCCAAATTGCCTGCCATAATGAATCTTAAACAGCAACATGGAGAGAAGAGCATAGCGGGTGGAGACAGGAACAAGGTCGGCGGATTCCATGGAATGACGCGTGTATTTAAATTAATCACTCTCCATGCCCTTGGAAAACAATACAGTGGAGGTTCACTGCATATCCCAAAATTATTTTCTCAAGAGCAGTAATTGATTATTAATTTGGAAGAGAATCAAGACCCATGCATCTGCCACATTTATGGAGGAATCAGTTGACAGTGCATGTCTTGGGTCACTAATGGGTCTTAAATCAATACAATATTTATGAAAAGCAAATTAGAAGTACCTAAATATTTTATAAGTGCCAACCCTTAGACCTAGATATTCCACTAATCCTGATCCCACAAATAGACTCACAAGAGTCCAAGGATATAAACTCAAGAATGTTATTTGCAGCATTATTTCTAAACCAATAGAATAGAGACAACTTAAATATTCATCAATATGAGAAAAGGTACATTATACAGATTGTGATCCATGTATATTATACAAAACTGAGAAGGAGTTGAGAAAATTGAGGTAACTGTGTGTATACTGACACAGAAAGAAGTGGGTAGCTGCTTGTTGAATGAACAGAGCAAATTGCAGTATAGAACATAGCACATGATGGGAGGAATTAACAAATTATTAAAAATGGTTATCCTTGGGGAGTGGGATGAAGGAACATTCAATTCTGTATGTTTCTGTGTTGTTTGACTTTTTTATTAAAATAACAATAAAAGTATATGATTGTACAATTTTCATAATAACCCACAAGGAAAATCCTAGCTATTCTTTCAACAAACGTCTGACATATAGAATGTGCTCAATAAAGATCTATTGATTGAATGAATATCTGTGGAGTTTCTACTAGGATATAGCAGCACATGGGGATGGGATGGGATAAAGAAGAGGGAGAACCAGGCACTGGATTTTCATTTCTGATTGAATGACCTACTTAACCCCTTGCCATTACATTTGAGGAGTGATTTGAAAACCTCTTAGACTCTGTCCACCTTAGGAAATGATTAAAGTTAAGCACTCAGAACATAGACCGCTGACCTTTCCTTTGTGCAATTGCTGTTTGACAAGTGGAGTTTTTAGGTAAGACAAGCAAGAACTGTTTTGGTTCAGTTCTCTGGTTGCTAGCAAGCACTGGACGGGAAGTCAGCTCCCTGTTATGGTTGGTCTAACATTAAGGAACTCTCCCAGGGGAGGGGAGGGACCTCTAATCCCCAAAGAGTCTTCAGAGTTTTATTTAGGAGGAACTGAGGCTTTGAAAGTCAGTCAGTGGCCTGGAATAATGGCACAATACAATGGTCAGTCTCCCCTATACACCTACATGCGGTTAACCTACCAGTGGAAATTCAGTCATAAGCTGTGCATAAGATACATTTTTCTTCAGGGAAATAAAAAGTCCAAAAAAAAAAAAAGAATGAACATGTCCACAAAGGTAAAATAGGGTTTTCAAAGTACTATTTTCAGTCCTCTAGAGAAAACATGCTGGGGTCCCATCTTACTTCCTAGTGAGAAGATATCTTATGTCTGTAGTTATTCCTGCATGTTTTTATATTGCTATGATCCACATATTATAAGAACCTGAGGCCAGATTCTGTTTAAATGCACATTTGACACCTCTTGGGTGTCATAAAGTCACACTTTCCCAAGTTACAGTTAAATATATGTATTTAACTTGACTTGCAACTTCATATCAAAATAAATAAGGGAAAGGTTAGGTAGCCATGGGGGGAGGTGTCTTTCCCACTTCTACCAGGTGATCATTAATGCTACAGCCAAAACTACCCCCACCTGTTGAGATGCTTGACCCACCTGTTTCAGTGCCTTCTACTCCTTCATTCTCGTAATCTCCTCTCCCCATGTGGCTGGCTTCACCAATGGAGGACTGCCAGGCAGCATTATAACATGCATATATATGTCCCTATACCTGTTCATTTTCTTTTAATGCCCTATGCTGTATTCTTCGTGTTGAAGTGTTTTCTGTTTTAAACTGGAAAATCCCTAAAGTCAGAGACCAGGTCTGCGAGGTGTCAAACTCAGCCAAAAGGTCTTTCTTACAGGTGCTTGCTGGATCACTGGATCTACTGAGGGACCTATCAAGACTATCATCACAGGGACAGTTTCTACCTCCAGTGTCTGATTTCCTCTCTACCCCCAAGCCTTATCCTGATAAACAAGTATAACCACTGCCATTTATTAAGCACTTATATGTGTTATTTGCTTTAAATGTGTGATCTAATGTACCTTTAAAATAATCCAGTGAGTTAGATACCGTTATCACATCCCTTGTACTGCTGAGGAAATTGAGGCCCAGAGAGCTATGTTACTTAAGTAATTTCACTATAATCACACAGGTAAGAGGTAGATCTACCATTTCAATTCTGCCTAACCTTCCAGTGTTCTGGGGAGACTTAAATCCCTCTGAGTATTGTAAATATAAATAATGACAAGTTGGAATTAGAAGCATATAGCCATCTTTCAGTACTCAGTTCTGATTCATGTGTACCATATGTAGCAGGGGGCATTCAACAGACCTTCGGACTTCAATTTCAAACTAGTGTAGTATCTCTGCTTAGCTCTTAGTGGGGATGTTCTGTAGGCCTCAAAGACAGGTACAAAGACCATGAGAATCAGCTTCACAGGTATTAGTCTCAGAGCATCAGTGTGGAGTAAGTTCTCCATGCCCTTGGAGATGGGCAAGATTCAATAGTGAAAGGAGAAAATATTGGAGAGCAGACATTTAAAAGTGTTACCACCTGTTTCCCTGTACATGGAGACCTTCAGTGACTTGTATTCTTTTCCTCTGGTATCTATTTTCTCTTGTGGAGCTAATGGTTCTACTAAGGCTAAAGAGACAGCCTGTTGCCAGCTAGTCTGCCCTATAAGAATTAATATGATCAAAAATGGGAAGCAGAAGAGATGTTAGGGGTAACACAGGAACACCCCAGCATTTCTCAAACCAGTTTGCCTGGCTTTAAGGGTGGGGTGTCTAGGGGCCCTGAGACTGCATGTTAAGAAAGTAGCCCACATCCTTCTCATACAGATGGTATGCCGACGTATTTGAAGATGTCCTGGTTATAACAAGTGAAGTGAATAGATGACCCTCTTGTCTGCAATCAGACATTAAGAAAGATCATGTTGCTTTGTCCAGGTTCCTTAGGAAAGAACACTGTGATCAAATAGAAAATTCCTGGTAATCATTACCTACAATAGATCACATCTGACACAAAGTTGGTACACAAAGAGCAATCTGGAAAAGGTAAAATGGGTGCCATGCTGATGGTCCCAAACATATAACTGGATAAAGACATTTATAGGCATTCATTGCTGCAGATGTTACAGTAGTCCCACACATAAATCAAACAAAAACAAGAGTAAACCATAAAGTGTGAACTCCAACAAAGTTCAGATTGCTCCCATAATGACTGCTTTGATGAATGTCACGATATATCAAATGTCAAGCTGACACATGCTTTTTTTCCTCAGCTGGGGAGCGAGGGTTGCTTTGCTGGTGCTCTCAACACACATGCAGTCTACCCACTGAGCTGTTGACAGCTTTGGGACACCAGGAATCTTAGTGGTGGGGGCTGATATGGTAGA